AAATCCAACTTGTATACCATGATTATATTCAAGAGTTGGGTAATACTTATATATATAAATGAAGAGTTATATTTCCCCGAGTTATATTCTATCAGATAACTGGTACCTCGTTATTGATTCTTTGTTCTGTTATCTCATGACAGAATAGAAATTCGGCAAAAGCCAGGAATGATATAGGCAACAAAAGCCCTTGCATCCTATCTCATGACAAGTAGAAGCCGTGTAGAGCACCAGCAAAGAGCAGCATGAGCTCTTAATGAAGCGCCATGCCGAGTGGTCATCCGATCAGCTCCCGCCAATTTCAACACCGAGCTTCCGCTTCCAATCATCAGCCCCGCGGGTGGCAGGGGAGGGAGGGCCCGTCCATTGCCGGGGGTTCATTCCTTTGACAACTTAAGAATGTTGGGAAAATATGTTTTTTTCTAGAGGATTAGTTTTTCCTTCATTATCAATTATCCAAAACCGTAATTGGCAACCAGTAGTTGCCTGATTTATACCAACGAGGAGTGAGATTCCCTATTAATAAAGATTATGCTGAAGAGAATTTATGGGGATTGTCAAAACTATTGCAATAGTTTGACACTATTGAAAAAAATATATTAAAAATCTTATTGAACCCAAATTTTTATTTAAACCTTTTGAACAACATATTGATGTTCATGTAATACGATAATGGAAACAAACATTTTTAAACAAGGTGAAAAGCATTGGTAGGAATGATATATGCGGACCCTGTTGTTGTACGAAATATATATGTACGTATAAAATAATTTTTGGAATTTCCCTTCTCGTCATCTTTAAAGGTGATTATCATTTAACGAATACCCAAAAGTTGACAGTTTGGCTTATCCCTAGTACACGTGGTACAGACCATGATAATCATGGTGGGTACAAGTAGGCGACTGCTTTTACTGTAAGTGAACCACATGTCTACACATGTGAAAAGCAGTTCGACTTTGCACTTACAAATGTGCCAGAGCCCCGTTTGGTTACTTGCACTCGTTGGTGGGGTTGGACTTTTGCAAGAATCGGGGGCCATTGGAGCATTTTTTTTTATCAGAAAAAAAGTGCCTAATACGGGAATCGAACCCGGGTCTTAGCGGCCGAAAACCAACGGTTTAGAAAATCCTTCCACCGACCCCCTATAGTCGACAATTATGAGAATAAAAAGTCGCTAACACTCTAAGATACATTCAACAAATCACAAATTCTCTCGACGTGGTTCTTCGATATACAGATCAATTCAAATAACGTACAAGAAATAATGAGGCGGAGGCAGGATGGATGATGTCTTCTATAAGCCACAGGGAGAATATATAATGAGAGGAATCCGGTACTAAAACCGCGCAATTCAAGCATAGTCGGAGCTTGATGTAATTTCAGATGATATGCAAATTGGAGAATCAATTGCACCTGGCCGAAAGTATTGAAGAAATATTCATATGGGTCTAATTAAACTTCCGAGGCAGAATTCAGAATGTTTGAACTCAACTGAATACCAACATTTTGATCCAAGCAACAAGATCCGAACAAACCACTCAGCAAGTATATAATTTTTAAAAGATTCATTTAACTTGCTTCCCTCTCTGTCGTTCTGTCTGTCCACAAAGCTTTTAACATACTTACAGAGCATCTAGAAGTCTGAAATTTGGTACACTTGTTCAAGCCTGATGACATTGCAAGTTGACAAAATTCCAGACTCCTAGGTGGCCGCAAGGGTCGGAAATAGACGAGATAAGAGAATTTATTTTGAAACGAACAAAAAAGACGCAGCCGTTTCTTTGGCGCAATGAACTACTGGAGTTACATAAAAATGTGATCGGGACTGGACAATTTTCTTTATTTCCTTTCAATTTTTGTGATCAAGTTTTAATGTGTTTCCAGACCACAGATAATTCTGAAATTGTCTACACTCGATCGATCCTGCTAACAATGCAAGTCTTCAAAATGTAAAACTCTTAGGCCGCGCGATGGTCTGGAATAGACTATAGAATAGAATTTCTAAATATCAAAAGGAGGAAATAGGCGCAACCATTTGTGCGTAATGAGCGGCAGGATTCAATTAAAAAAAAAAAAAATCGGTACTATGAACTAGAGCTATAAATAATTGTGAGCATATTTCAGTATAAAAAATATATAATCGTTTATAATAAATAAAATTTAAAAATTGACCAAATTTTCAAAAATAATGATACATTTGTATATTTTTAAAGAATTCATGACTAAAAATACAAATTGATAAGTAATAAAAAAAAGTTTTAAAATAGCTTCTATTAAAATGCATTAACAGAATAAAATAAATATTTCAGCTTCCGTCATTGAACAATTGGACTCCAAATAAAAGCTGCGGGAAACGATCGTCGAGTATTTTGAAGTTAATGTGATTCAATATAAACCAACGGATTAACAAGTTTTATGTTTCACTAAATATTTTACCTCTTCCCTCAATATACGATGATCGCTCCCCGCTGCTTTGGACTTATTGATCGAATTGTTCAATGGCGTAAGCTGAGATATTTATATTCTATTTTTTATTACATTTTAATAAAAGCTTTTTAAAGCTATTTTAAAATTAATTTCTCTCTCCTCGAGTCAGTAAGTAGTTATTTTCCCCAATAAGACGTTGTGGGCAGAGGTAGTTCTTGTCCTTCACTATAGGGAATGTTTTCCCCCTTTATTGAATAAATAGTTTACTGCTTCTTGTGTAGGCTAGTAGATCTAGTCTTACGGGAAGTGAGATGTTGTGTGTGTGTGTGTCAGCTAAATATGTAGAATATCTGACAATTAACTTAATTTTATTGACATCTTGTCAATACATGCAAAAGTCTATAAGTAGATCTCTGGTGAAGAAAGGAATTGCTACATTCTAATCATGGGTAGATTTTATCACCAATATCTTGTACATATAATATATAGTTTGATATATCCTCTCGGTAAATAATTCTCTGATTCTGGTAAAGAAGGGAATAGTTCCATTACAACCGGGGTCTTTTTTCTTCCCAATATCTTGTTGATTTACTATAGATTTATCATCCCGATAAATAATTCTCTGCTTCTGGTAAAGAAAAGAATAGTTCCATTACAATCAGAGAGTAAATTTTTTCTTCCCAATATCTTGTACATGTACTATAGCTTTATCTTTATTCTCGGTAAATAATTTTCTGATTCTGGTAAAGAAGGGAATAGTTCCATTACAATCAGAGAGTAGGATTTCTTCCCAATATCTTGTAGATTTACTATAGCTTTATCATCCCGATAAATAATTCTCTGCTTCTGGTAAAGAAGGGAATAGTTCCATTACAACCGGGGTCTTTTTTCTTCCCAATACCTTGTAGATTTACTATAGCTTTATCATCCCGATAAATAATTCTCTGCTTCTGGTAAAGAAGGGAATAGTTCCATTACAATCAGAGAGTAAATTTTTTCTTCCCAATATCTTGTACATGTACTATAGCTTAATCTCTCTTCTCGGTAAATAATTCTCTGCTTCTGGTGAAGAAGGGAATAGTTCCATTCCAACCAGAGAGTAAATTTTCTTCCCAATATCTTGTACATGTACTATAGCTTTATCTTTCTTCTTGGTAAATAATTCTCTGCTTCTGGTGAAGAAGGGAATAGTTCCATTCCAACCAGAGAGTAAATTTTCTTCCCAATATCTTGTACATGTACTATAGCTTTATCTACCTTCTCGGTAAATAATTCTCTGCTTCTGGTGAAGAAGGGAATAGTTCCATTCCAATCGGGGTATCTCTTTTTGCTCACCAATATCTTGTACATGTACTATAGCTTTATCTCTCTTCTCGGTAAATAATTCTCTACTCTTGGCAAAGAAGGGAATAGTTCCATTCCAATTAAGTAATAGATTTTCCTCCATAAGAAGTTTGTGTGTATGTATTATACTGATGCGCATTTATTGTAGTTTTATTCTCAAGGCACATAAATAGTTCCGTTCTTTGGTGTAAAAAAAGATATTTTCCCCCATATAAGTAGTTAGCAAAATTCAGGAATGTGAAAAGAGCAAGTAAAACTGTAAAAAGGTAGTTATTGCGGCGGGCTAATGGTAGTTCCCTCTATCACGATACGTTTTCGGTTTCAAGCAAAAAAAGTAGTTGTCTTCTCCTTCGGATAAGCATGATTTGTTCTTTTATATTCTTGTTAGTTTTTAAAGTGAGAAGTTCAATATATCACACCGGGTAGTATCTATTTTAAAGAAAGTAGTACTCCCCCTATTGGGGGTAGGAGAGTATATAAAAAAAAGGCAAACAAAAAAAGCCTCCCCGACGGGGAATCGAACCCCATTCGCCCACATGACAGGCGGGGATACTAGCCACAATACTTACAGAGGAACGTGGTATTCCTGTTCGTGTCATAGTGTCGTCCCACTAGGCTGGAATTCAATTTTTTTTTAAAAGATATTGTTGAAATGGGCTAAGTTTGAATATATAAAAATGGTTAGTAGTACCGTCTGTCAAGTGGTTAATTCCGTATCAGAAGTTTTTCGTGTTTTGAATTTGGAAAAAAAAAAAAAAAACTAATGAAATTCACTTGTTTATTAAATTTATAATTGTAAAACGAAAATTAAAATTATACCGCGAATGTTTCTTTTAAAAATCGAAATTTATTTTCAAAGAGAAATAGCGACATTTCTAACTTTGAGATGAGGTATGGAAAGGTGAAACATGAAGAGTAATGGAGAACGGAAAAATAAAAAGTGTCCAGGGGCGGGAATCGAACCCACACCCTTCTGCTTACCGGGCAGGTGCCTTGTCCACTCGGCTACCCTGGACGTATTTTTCCGTTCATAACTTATATTTAAAGTAACATTTAAAATACAATATAACGCGGCTGATGATTGTAAAACGAAAATTAAAATTATACCGCGAATGTTTCTTTTAAAAATCGAAATTTATTTTCAAAGAGAAATAGCGACATTTCTAACTTTGAGATGAGGTATGGAAAGGTGAAACATGAAGAGTAATGGAGAACGGAAAAATAAAAAGTGTCCAGGGGCGGGAATCGAACCCACACCCTTCTGCTTACCGGGCAGGTGCCTTGTCCACTCTTCCCGCCCCTGGACACTTTTTATAGTTAGAAATGTCGCTATTTCTCTTTGAAAATAAATTTCGATTTTTAAAAGAAACATTCGCGGTATAATTTTAATTTTCGTTTTACAATCATCAGCCGCGTTATATTGTATTTTAAATGTTACTTTAAATATAAGTTATGAACGGAAAAATACGTCCAGGGTAGCCGAGTGGACAAGGCACCTGCCCGGTAAGCAGAAGGGTGTGGGTTCGATTCCCGCCCCTGGACACTTTTTATTTTTCCGTTCTCCATTACTCTTCATGTTTCACCTTTCCATACCTCATCCTCAAAGTTAGAAATGTCGCTATTTCTCTTTGAAAATAAATTTCGATTTTTAAAAGAAACATTCGCGGTATAATTTTAATTTTCGTTTTACAATCATCAGCCGCGTTATATTGTATTTTAAATTTATAATTTTTAAAATCCTTTTCTTCATAATTGTATCAATTATAAATGCGATCATAATAAATTTATTTGATTATGGGTATCCAATATTTCGAATTGAAGAGAAGGAACAATGCTTAGAATTTTTAAAGACAATTAAAAATAAAATGCATCAATGTTATTCAAAAGAAGCTCTTATAATTTTAAATTCACGTGGATATATAGTATTTATTTTGGAAAATATGAATAACATATATTGTTATCAAGTTTAATATTCGTAGTTAACTTTTCTAAGGCGTCTGCCATATCAGCAAAGGCCGGGAAGAACGTATTCGGGTGGAAACGCCCCTTGTTCAGTTCGAATCCAAGCCGCGAGAGCTTGAAGCCAAACTCAACTGCTATACCCACACTATCCTCAAACCGGGTCTGTCTCTGACGCTATTTCTGGATCAACAAGATGTATAGAATCTTCGTTTTAAATTGAAATACTAGGTTATGTAACCACGTCTTTTAAAAGATATATCAAATCTTTGTTCTTCAGCGAACTAAAGAATTAACGAATGGTGGACAATACATTATATAGCACTATATAGACTCCTACACAATATATATATATATATAACGATAAATTGACTCCTACACAATACATAGATATAGCAATATATAGACTCCTGCACAATACATACATATAACAATGTATAGACTCCTACACAATATATATATATATATATATATATATAACGATAAATTGACTCCTACACAATACATAGATATAGCAATATATAGACTCCTGCACAATACATACATATAACAATGTATAGACTCCTACACAATATATATATATATATACAGTAATCCCTCGTTATCACGAACTCGGATTATACGAACTCTCGGTTTGCGCGAACCGTTTCTTTTCCCCCGTTAAATTTCAATGCTTTCCAAATAGATTTTGCCGGTTAAGACGAAATATTCGGTTATGACGAAATATGAATTAAATTTAGCCCCCAGCAGAACTAATCAATCGGTTAAAACGAATTCTAATATGTTTTTAAAGGCGAGTTATAAGTAAAACAATAAACTATTAAAACAACAAAAACGCCGTTGATATCAAGTATTGGCTCTCTTTGTCTTTTGTGTAAACATTCGTCCTTTGTTTGTTATGATGACTCATTTTCTATGAAACCATCCCCTTGGGGTCGTTCCATGTACTCAATCAGTGGAAAATTTCGACTCTATTGTGCCAGTATTGCTGTTTTTCTCGACTGATAAATGTAGGGGCCGAAAAGCATCCCATCAAGACGTGGAAGATGAGCTTTTAAAATGGTTTAAAAAAAGTAGACAAATTAATATTCCTGTATCCGGCGCACTTGTCAAAGAAAAGGCTAAAGAAATAAGGGTCTCATTGGGTGTGGAAAAAACAGCTGATTCGTTTTCACTTCCAGAAACAATGCTTGATGAGCCTGAAGAATGGACCAAACTCCTTTCAGCTACAAACCCAGCTGAGACTTTGACTTTCCTGGAGTATGTTGCCCTGGATGAAGGGTTGGAAATTTGCGGTTCACCCGAATTAGAAGAAAAGAAGAAAGAAGAAGAAGAAACAGAAGACGATGAGGTGAAAGAAGAGATAATGATGCCTACTAGAGGGGAAGTAATCGCGGCCCTCGAAACCCTCCAGAAGCTGTCCAAAACCTCTGCGGATATTGATGTTCATTTTGAAGATGACCTGGATAAAATAAGAAGGGAGTGTCTGAAACAGTGCCCAATCAAATACCACCAAAAAACTATAACAGACTTTCTGAAGCCTGCAGAGAAAACCCAGATATAGGATACTCTATGCATACTGCATATGCTGCATACACATAAACATTGTATGTACCAAGTATATTATGTAAGTTGTTTCTTTTGTTGTTCTTTTTTATTTGTGTTTTAAAATAAACTTATATTCTCATGTTATTGCCTTACATTGTGATTATATTATCCATATTGTCTTTTAAAATAAAATACTTTATGTACATACATATACATAATTGTTGTTCCTTAAAATTATAAAATATTTTCATTAATATTGTTTTCAAATAAATTTATTCGTTATTCCTCAGAAATGTAGTTTTCTTACTCATCAGTAGTACATAAGTACAACCCCCGGATACCACGAATTCAATTCGTCTAATACGAATTCGGTTTATACGAATTCGGTATATATTATTTTAAGACGAAAAGGGTATTTCGTTCTCCCGTTGAGTTCGTCTTAACGAGGGATTACTGTATATATATAACGATAAATTGACTCCTACACAATACATAGATATAGTAGTATATAGACTCCTGCACAATACATAGATATAGCAATATATAGACTCCTACACAAGACATAGGTATAGCAATATATAGACTCCTACACAATACATAGATATAGCAATATTTAGACTCCTACACAATACATAGGTATAGCAATATATAGACTCCTACACAATACATAGATATATCAATATATAGACTCTTACCAAATATATAAATATAGCAATGTGTACAGACTCCTACACAATACATACATATAGCAATGTATAGACTCCTACACAATACATAGATATAGCAATATATAGACTCCTACACAATACATAGATATAGCAATATTTAGACTCCTACTCAATACATAGATATAGCAATGTATAGACTCCTACACAATACATAGATATAGCAATGTATAGACTCCTACACAATACATAGATATATCAATATATAGACTCATACACAATACATATAGATATAGCAATGTATAGACTCCTACTCAATACATAGATATAGCACCTAAGTCAAGTTGTAAGATATCAGTAGTGGGTACACCACTTCAGGAAAATAGAGATGTTTTAATCTGCCCAAATTGGGAACTGTCAATAAGGAAGGAATTTATTATACCTTCCCTTCTTACAACATTTCAGCAAGGGAAAGCAGATTTGTGGATAGCAAACGGAAACTCGAAACCGCTGATGATCCCTTCGCGTATGGCCCTTGGCACCATGAGCGATGTTGATGTTGGCTCCATATGCTCCTTGAAATGCGATGAATTAATTCAAGAAGAAGAGATGTGGACTACCAAATTGGACCAGAAGATAGAAGCAATGATCGACTCGAATCTTACTGAGGATCAGCAAAATAAGATGATGAATGTTCTTAAGAAATTTTCGAATGTCTTTGATTTTTCTGGGAAGTCCCAACCTGCCCGAAGTAAAATAAAGCATAAGATTGACACGGCTGATCACGCTCCAACAAAACAGAGGCCTTACCGAGTGTCTGGAATGGAGAGGAAAATCATACAGCAGGAAGTTGACAGAATGATGAAACAAGATATAATTCAATTTTCTGAAAGTCCTTGGTCTTCGCCTGTAGTACTTGTGAAGAAAAAAAAAGGGTCTTGGAGGTTTTGCGTTGACTATCGACGACTTAATAAGATCACCAAGAAAGATGTTTATCCATTACCACGGGTTGATGATGCTTTGGATAATTTATCGGGAGCCAGATATTACTCAAGTATGGATTTAAGAACTGGCTATTGGCAAATTGAAGTGGATGAGCATGATAGAGAGAAGACGGCATTCATTACACCTGATGGACTATACGAATTTAGGGTAATGCCATTTGGCCTCTGTAACGCCCCAGCTACATTTGAGAGGATGATGGATACCGTTTTGAAAGGACTAAAATGGAACATCTGTCTTTGCTATTTGGATGATATAGTGGTTTATGGTCCTTCATTTGAAGAACATCTAAAAAGGTTAGAAGTTGTTCTGGAATGCCTTCAACAATCTGGATTGAATGTGAACCATGAAAAATGTTTATTTGGCTCAAGACAATTAAAAATACTAGGACACGTTGTCAATGAAAATGGAATACATCCAGATCCCGAAAAGGTTGAAGCCATTTTAAAATTTCCATCTCCTAAAAGTATACCTGATATTAGAAGTTTCTTAGGACTGTGCTCCTATTATAGACGATTTGTGGAAAACTTTTCCCACAAAGCTAAACCTCTGAATGACCTTTTGAAAAACAATGTCAAATTCTGTTGGAATAAAGGAAAAGAAAATGCCTTCGAGATCCTTAAAGAAGCTTTAACCTCTGAACCTGTTCTTGGGCACTTTATTGAAGACGCCGAGACCCATATACACACCGACGCCAGTGGATATGGCATTGGAGCAGTGTTGATCCAAATACAAGGAGGTGCTGAAAGACCAATAGCTTATGCATCCAGGACCCTAACAAAGGCTGAAAAGAATTATTCTACGACTGAAAAAGAACTGCTTGCGGTTGTTTGGGCCACATCCAAATTTAGACCCTACCTTTTTGGCCGAAATTTCACAGTTGTTACAGATCATCATTCACTGTGCTGGCTTGCAGGACTTAAAGATCCTTCCGGACGACTCGCTAGATGGGCGCTCAGACTGCAAGAATTTGACATCACCGTAGTCTATAAAAGTGGGCGCAAACATAAAGACGCCGACTGTTTATCAAGGAACCCTGTACCAGAAGAGCAAGAAGACTTCCCAAATATAATATCGATCATCGATATTCGTGCAGAACAAAGTCGAGATCCCAATTTAGCAAAGATCATAG